CAGGAATTACTATTCTAAAAGTACTCCCATTTGTATTAAATATCGTTTCGTTTCGATATTTTATCACACAAACAAAAGTAAGTTATGACAAATGTAAACTAGCCATTTCTAACCAAATTACTAACAAAGAGGTTAATGTAAATCATAACAAAATTTGAACATTTTTCGGTACTATGTGTTTTTACACAAGTATATGTATATTTTATGCAATTAAAAATTGAATTATAAAAGTGATGAAATTCTTGAAGTCAAAGTATAGTCGTTACAAAATAGAAGAATCGAGATTGCAGGTAGAAAGTTTAGAAACTCTGATAACGAATTTAGTAGTTATAAAGCATTTATGGTTTACACGTACGATGTACGTACATGCACAAAAATAGTCAAAGTCTGGAACGTTAATAGTGTAAACAGCTGTCTCTAACACATGATTCACGGGGAACATGGCATATCAGAAAACACTTACTAAAATATTAATCGAAGAGATCGAAAGGTTATGTTTGGATCGATATGGATTTAAAAGGTTATGGATTGAAATAATACTAACAAATGTACCAATTTTATAACCAAATTATGTAGTTTCTTAAACAAAAATTAAATTTATATTTTATTTTGATATTTTCGATCAACTAGGTGAAAGCAAAAAGTATTAAAAATTCAATTCGTACAGGTTATTTGAAGGAGCCGACTCATTACAAAAAAAAATTTGTCATGCAGAAAATAAGAGCAGAATCCACGTATTTCCACTTTAAAACTTGCAGAGATGATTTCTAACTGTTTGGACAGACAGCGTTCCAAATCTTGTCGAACAGTTTTACGAGACTACAATTTTCATGACGAAATTCTTCGAAAAATACCATATATCAGAGACCTTAAAGTAGACAATGTAAATTTAAAACAATTTTAGAATGCATACAAAATTAACGAAGATAATAAAAATAATAATAACTTATCACAAATGTAAATTAAATGTTAAGAAAAAACAAACGATACTTTAATTGTTGTTCACTATACCAGAAGGTTATTAAATTTGTCATAATATATTATATTAAATATATCAACATAAAAGTGCATCAAAAACATTGAGAAATTGATTAAGGAACATTATAAATATTAGAAGTTGAACATTTTCTGTAATATAATTAATAAATTCCTTTTTATCGTTATACAATTATTATCAATTGATCAATTGAAATCAAGCAAAATTTTTTCATTTTGTCGAAATGAAGTATTATAAATTTTGGAATAACTAATAAACATTTTATTAATAAAAATTCTACGTTTCATGTAAATTACAAAATACTTTGTAATATTCTAACGGAGAATACATATAATATATACACGATGCATAAAATAATCCTAACTCTAATTTATTATGTATAAATTTATTCATATAAAATGTAAATTTTGTATGCTTACTCGTTTTACAATAAATAAGGCAAATAAACGGCAGATGTATTGTATATGTATATCGAGATATTTGAAATTTATGATGTTGATCATTCAAATAACTTTCAAATATTTTATAAAAATGCTATATATAGTAAGCAAATAAACATACATATATACGTTATCTTTGACGTTTAATTTGAATGCTATGCGAAGAATATTTAATCTTCGTACGTGTTATCATGATACGTTTATGATGCCTATATTTTTTGTCACGGATACAAAATACTCTTTGGAAACATAAAGAATATTCTGCATCGAATTTTAACTTAAATTGACAAAGCTAAAACAATAGAAAAGTTTGATAAATCAGTAAAAATAAATACATTTATGTAAATTATTGGAGATTTTAATTTAAAATTTACAAAATAAATATTTATTTTTAAATAATTACTTTTATGTTTTACATGTATTGTATAATTGTGCCTTTGTTTAAATTTTATAATTACATAGTATTTAAATATTTTAATTATGAAAATATATAAATTACGATATAAAGAAACTATATTAATATAAATTAATAACTATTATAACATTTATATAGAAATAGATTACTGTGATTCTTGTACATGAGAAATCTACTTGAAATTTCGCGCCTTATGCCTCAATTTCGAGAGATCGAACGTTCCATATATTCGAGCCATTGCAGTGCGAACAGTAGTAAATTGTCTGTCTTCAGCGCAGGGGTGGTGAGGTATTTGTTCATTGCATCAATTAATTCACATGCGTTTTTTTTTTCTTAATTCGTGGTATTAACCACAAGATATTCGAATTCACAGAATACAGTGACTCAACAAACCTGCGCGGGTGAATACGTGAAGGAGAACAAAAGCCGTATACGAAGATGTGCGGTGGTTTTACGTGCTCTAAAAACGCATTGACAGCGCTAAACATCTTTTATATCGTAAGCAAAATTTCCGGAAACAAGATTGTTTACACCACCTGGAACAAATATATCAGTTTTTAATTGTATTTTACTTTCAAGAACGCGTATTTCATATAATCCTACAATATACAAGATTAAAATAATGTTTTAAATTATCTTCTATTATTGAAAATTAGTTTCCCATGTATTCGTGATTAAATAAATATAAAAATATTTGGGCAAGGATTTTTTATAGAACTTAAGTATTTTAACATTATTATATGTAATAGTAATACTGTAATTTAATAATATAACTTTAAGAAATGAAATAATAATAATAGTAAATCTATAGATAGAACTGCTGTTCTTTTTAATAGTTATTTAAAATATGAACTCACAAATCTTTGATATATTTCAGAATTTTAAGAATTTGTAAAAATTATATCTTAATATTTTAGGTTGTTTCATTTATTTTAATTGGTGTAGCTGTGTATGGAAGAGCTTCTGCATTGGTTACAAATCTTCCTATAATTGGAGGTATTTTAGCATGTGGTGTTATTTTGATCTTAATTTCTATACTTGGCCTGATTGGTGCTACTAAACACCATCAAGTACTATTATTCTTTGTATCCTTTTATAAGGTGTATTATATGTATATATAAATTATATTTAACGACTAATTATATACCTATTTTTATCTCTTTTTGATAACTCTTAGGAAAAGGTACTATTATCATTAGAAAACCAAAGTGTTTAATATTTTTAGAATATTTCATGGTTTAACATGTTATAATATAATATACAAATAGAAAAGAAATCATATGATGATTTTTAATGCCGTTTTTGAAAAAGAATGATTAATTTTTAACAGAAAATATATGAGGTAACAAAAATTTGTATAAAAAGACAATAAGTAACTAATATACTGGTTGGAAACTATCACTTTTTAAAATAAGTTAACAAAGAATATATATTTTATCAAATGTATAAATAATTTGAAAAGAAATCATTTTATAGATAATATATATTTAATCCTTAATAATACTGATACAGTATGGACTTGCAGCATTTTGTTTATGCTATTTTCAGTTACTCATTCTTCGTGAATTAACTTCAATAACGTTTAAATAATTTAAAAAGAAACTATTTTATATATTTTTAATTTTTAATTTTTAATTTTTAATTTTTAATTTTTAATTTTTAATTTTTAATTTTTAATTTTTAATTTTTAATTTTTAATTTTTAATTTTTAATTTTTAATTTTTAATTTTTAATTTTTAATTTTTAATTTTTAATTTTTAATTTTTAATTTTTAATTTTTAATTTTTAATTTTTAATTTTTAATTTTTAATTTTTAATTTTTAATTTTTAATTTTTAATTTTTAATTTTTAATTTTTAATTTTTAATTTTTAATTTTTAATTTTTAATTTTTAATTTTTAATTTTTAATTTTTAATTTTTAATTTTTAATTTTTAATTTTTAATTTTTAATTTTTAATTTTTAATTTTTAATTTTTAATTTTTAATTTTTAATTTTTAATTTTTAATTTTTAATTTTTAATTTTTAATTTTTAATTTTTAATTTTTAATTTTTAATTTTTAATTTTTAATTTTTAATTTTTAATTTTTAATTTTTAATTTTTAATTTTTAATTTTTAATTTTTAATTTTTAATTTTTAATAATACTGATATATTTTTAATAATGCTATATGATTTTTTTTATTCCTGTTATTCCTGATTCAATTATTCATTCTTGATCCAATATTTGAACAAAGGTATAAATAATTCAAAAAGAAACCATTTTATACAAAATATATTTTTAATCCTTAATAATATTTATATAGTATATGATTATTTTATTCCTGTTATTCTTGATTCAATTTAGTATTGCTTGTGCTTGTCTTGCTGTTAACACAAAACAACAAGAACAGTTAGCAGAACAGGTAATATCAATATTTCAAAAATATTGTTATTATTGATAGCAGAAAAAATATACCGAATCTATTATTTTTAGGGCTGGCAACATGTCATAGATGAACTAAAAATAAAAGTTGAAACAACTTTCAATTGTTGTGGATTCAATGGCACTGAAAATGCACTCATGAATAGTTCAGACCCACAGTCCTGCAAAAATGTAAGTATGATTTAATTTTTGTAGGTATGATCAATTGTACATTACAGCATGATTTATACTTAATATGTAATTCTGTTTTAATTTTTCAGAAACTTTGTTGTCAATATCCTACAGATACTGATTGTGAATGTTCAACCTGTATGCAGAAATTACAATCTACAATTGATTATGCTTTTAAATTATGTGGCAGCATGGGATTGTTTTTCAGTTTTACTGAGGTGAGAATTGTATGAATTATTTTGTATATTATTTGTATTCAGTATGTGGTCACTGAAAAATGCAATGTGAAAATTGATATAATGCTTAAAAGCATTACATTTGTGAATTGCTTAATTTCATTAGAATGAACAGCAACTTATTTAGTAAATGTTAACCTGTGTACCCATTGCAGTTTGTTGGTGTTTGGTTGACCGTGCGGTACAGGAATCAGAAAGATCCACGAGCTAATCCTAGTGCTTTTCTCTAGTCTAACACCATCGCTATGTCCTCTGTCACCTCATATGATCCTCCTAATAGATGGTGGGTTGTTCTATGTTGCAATTTTCTATTTTATATATTAATTTTTAGGAATATCTTCTTGTCAATCATACCATGTAAAACATACCATCATGTCACATTTATGTAATTCAATATATGTATTAATCGAAATAAGTTTAAAAGATAATATTTATTAATTTAGTATAAAATATGTACATTTATATTTTAGGTGATTGCAGCTTTCTTGGCAAAACGTTACAGAAATCAACTAAATCCACATTTAAAAGCTGTGTTTCCTTAGTATACTTTCAACATAGTTCATATAATTTAAATACAAATATCTTTTTAATTGATGCTAGATCCTAGAAAGTAATAAGATGGATGAGTTGTGATCACAACTTTGATCATTTTGGTTCATACTTAGAAATATTGAATTATTTAATAGACAAAAGACTTAATTTTTATTTCATAGTACAAACATCATCTTGCATATAATATAATTCTTTAAAAAAGTGTTGGTCAGTCTTTCACTGCAGTTTATAATGCTCAACAGAAAAAAGAAACAGCACATTTGGAACAGTCATAGATTTTAGAATGGATTAGATAACTGATAGTTAAAATGTGTGCTCTAGTCATCCATTTAGAACAATTGCATTAAGCCTCAATGTGCTTTGTAGTTTAATATTTAGATACATTTATGCAAGCGCGTTTGTACAAAATTTAGGTTGTTTATTTATGAAAAATAATTTATAAATATGATTTATTATTTTCATTAAAAAATTTGTTTCGTATTAACAAACATCTTTAAATGTTTTAAATGTGTTCTAGAAAGTATTACATGTTCTTTGCATTATAAATTTTTTTAATTTGATATCTTTTATTTTAATTTTAAATATTTGTAAAATATCCATAAATATTTTTAGAAACGACTAGTCAAATCGTATAATGACTCATAAATTTTTCAAAATAAATTTCACTTTACTCAACTAACTAAATAAATTTTGATCAAATTATCTTTTATCAAGATATTGTAATGAAAAAATGCAACTTTGTTGTGAATTACGAAGTATTAATAATTCGTATTTCCCTAATGACTCAAACATATTAATCCTCTAATAAAAAATAAAATATGACATGATAATTAAGGTATTTCACACAGGATTTTTGATCTTGACATATTATCATAATACTATCGTATATATAATAATGTCATAATCATGTTATCAACTTTAAATTTATAATCTGCTTCCTCTAATTTTAATATTTACTTCTTTCATTATAAGAATTCATTAGATTGTATTCTTGAATCTTATGTACAATATGTTTGAAAAATATTGCTATTAAAGCTTTTGAATTATTCTACAAGACTCTACTGATTGAAAGATTATTACTTTAATACATAGACTTACTAAACTTTATTCGTATATTCAGTGTTCATTTCATTTAATCTTGTAATTGATTTATATTTCACATAAAAAAGAAAATCATAATTATATGTCATACTTGCAATATTAATCAAGTGTTACATTATATAATCAATATTTTATTATAGTATGTATTTAAATTTTATATATTAATATTTTATGTACATTTACATACATGTTATGTTGTATGTATTACATATGTATATTAACATATGTAAATATATCTCTTTTCTTTTTTAAGATATATTATTATCAACATTTCTTTCTTAATGTTAATTTTAATTATGTTTATTTGAATAATGAAGCAGCAATAAAATTGAATAATTAAACAATTGCAGTATGTGAAATTATCTTCATATATATCTTAATAATCCTTTTATTGGATGAATTTTTTTATCTCATAAAAGCAATTGATTTAAAGGGTACAGTATGTCATAATTACAAATGAAAGTTAATTGCAAAAAAATAGAGTCATTATGTTAAACATTAAAGTACGGCAAAAGGAGAATAATTAAATTATATTAATTCAAAGAATAAAACAATATAGGAAGTATATTATATAGATCTATACATGTTTCATATATTCACATATTTATATTTAGATTTATTATAAAATATAATAATATATGCAATAAGGGGTTAATAAAAACATTATCCTAACATTCCAATTTTCACAATCCTTTACTTTTGTTAAAACTATGTTGAAATGGCAATGTATATTCAAAACCTGTAGTTTAATTTCTTTATATATATATATGAAATATTATATATTATAGAGCAGAATTAATTATGTGTATTAAATAAAATAATAGGTAAATGTAATAATGTAACTTCGTATACGTAATTATTCAAAAGATTAAAAAAAACAATTTACATAATATAATATTTTAGAGTTTCATCACTGATTTTAAGGTAATTTACAATAATTAAAATAAAGTACAGATTGACAAAAATATGGTTAGGAATATAATAAACACATATACGTATTTTAGTATATTATTAATATGTTGCTATACATATATCTACCGATGGATGCCTACATATTATCAATTGTATTCAAAACTGTATCGCAATAGTGAAATATAGTTCTTTCAAGCTAGGCTAGAATTGCACCAACTTAATGTAAACAAAATAAATAAAAAAGGTATTAAATACTTTCAATATAGTAAGAAATTCTTAATATCGTGACATTAAGGCAAAAATATTAATTTCAATTTTAATTATTTCATTCAACTCAAATATTTTATAATTGATAAAAGTATTTAAACAATATCTTTACAAGCAATTGTAAAAACCTATCAGTTTCGATCATTTTTATTTATAAAATTTTTAATATTGATTTGTTATTGGTCATAATGTCATAGTTAGAATTGTAATTATATTATCGTTTCGTCTTGTAGCATTTTTTTGTTAAATAAATATATACGAAGTTCGCAAATAAAATTGTATGTATGTATATATATTAAAAGTGTAATTTCCACATTTTTTAAATAAAACTACTTATTTAATTGTTTTACGTATATTTTTTTAATATTTCGTACATAATTACATTCGGGTTTAATTTTAAAAAAATTAATACTTTGTAAGATATTCTACTATAAAAATTGGAAGAATAACATAGATTATATTATTTAAATATAAACAATACATATATCAATTGCTTTATAAAAAATATATTTATAAAATATAATTATGTTATTCCTCTTTGCACCTTTCTTCTTTTCATTTTTAATTAAAGAAGAGTTTCAATCTATTTTGT